TTAAATATGAAGCAAAATTTATACCCTACTTCCATAACTCAGAATTTAATTAAAAATGTGATTAAAAAATACTTTCAGTAAGAAAAACATAAATAAAATAATTAGTTTTGATTTATTAAATAAAGTATTCAATGTTTGTAAAAACTGGTTTTGATGGTTTCGCCTAAAAAATAAAAAAACTTAACTGTTTAAAATATTTAAAATATTGGATCCGATTGACTTATCTATCTCAAAACTACTAAGGGCTTTTATCAGTTTTTGGGTCGGAAAAATGCTTGTACATTTGTAATCATAATACATTTGCCTTCAAAACATTTATACATTGGCATTCATAAATATTGAAAGAAATTCAACTGAATCTTCAAAAAGGGTACCAGAAAATTGCTTGAATGAATTGAAAATATTCAAAATATTTTAGAAAACTCTTTCTCAAGATGAAGCTATACGAAGTTATCTTCGAACTCTAAAAGCGTCTCAAACTACAAACGTAATTTTCCTTACACGTAATTTCTATTTAAACTATGTTTATATAGGATGTAGCCTTCTTAAGCTAATTCAAAGCCTCGGTTCTTTGCAAATCGTCATAGCCTTTTAGCAATTAGTTTGGCTAAGATGAAAAAACTTCAGTGCTTTAACATAGAAGCCCTTCAGCATTTTGTAGATTTAAAATTTTTTAAGCCCGTTGTAATGATTCCAGATACTTTTAGGTTAACAAGAAAATATAATATTTATTTCTCAATCAGTATGATTTATTTCAGGCATCTTTCAATGTTTCATATATTACTTAATTAATCTGATTCACTGCTGTTTTCTACTAAATCATTGGCAAAATACAAGATTTATTCTAATAGGTTTCAGCAAATTTAAGCTTATTAAGAAAATTTTAGTACATTCTTTAATTAGCTTTAAACCACATAGACTGATTTTAATAATTTGAAACCCGAAAGATATCAGACTGAATAGAAAATACCGTACTTCTCTAATTAGCCTGGCTCATTGCAAAATGACGGTGATATTTGTAAAGAGTGGGATTTTTCAATTGACCAACAACAAGCTCAACAAAATTATCATGATATTAAATAATTTCAAATGATTTGTACACAACTCCGATAATGATCCCTACAGTCGATTAAAATTCCAGAACCATTTTTAAACTGCGACTAATGCGAAAGTGAGGTAAATGTCAAAACGGATAACAGCATTTCTCCTAGATATCATAATATTATAATTGATCCATAATTTTACTATATTATGATTAATAATATTATGATTAATCCATTTATTTCATGGTTTGTGTCATTAAAATGGCATGGTATGAAGAAGTTCACGTTATAATTGCAAACAACACATGGTCCAGTTGGAGACAAATAATAAATTCTCTTAGAGTAATAGTTACCCCAGCAGGATAATAAATATTTTGCTCTTTGCCCATGCAAGAAAGGGTCTCAGACTTTACCTGGAGTTTGTCATTGAGTACCGTAAATTTTTTTTTTTTAGCATTATGTAAAATATAAAAATATATATATATAATAATAATAATAATAATAATAATAATAACTATAATTCTCGAACTAATTGTTGAATGTTTTGTTCCATTTTACTACCCATGAAAATATTCAACAACCTATCGTAATTTAAAGTTTCTATGTCATTCAGATTTTTGGGAGCAACAAACCTATATAAAGTTGAGCACCTAAATGTGGCTCGTGTTTTTTGTGATACTCCTCTGATGAACGAGCAAACTCTACAGAACTCTACTCTTTTATGAACTCTACAGAAGAAAAATCTAAAGTTTTTGATGACTCTTTAGGAAATCAGTTTTCACCATGCCGATTTGACTCATCATAACATTGTCACCGATGAAGCAAGCAATTTTACTTCAATTATATTAAAAGCGATTAATCCTGAGGAAGCTAGAGTTTCATTAAAAAAAAAACTATGAGGTTGTGATAGATCAAAAATGAAATGTTTCTTCCCGTTAAATACATAGAGCAAATTGTGAACATCGTCAACTCCTACCTGGCTCTTGTTTGCCCCCAGCTTCCTCAAAAAATGCTAAAGACATCTTAATCTTGAAGTAAAACAAATTATTGGCCAGTTAGTGTTTTGAGTACAATTATAAAAACTTTTGAAAAAAAAAGTTGTTATTGTTGTCGTCGGCCATTAGGCAAAGGGGATGCAAGTGTTCTTCTTTTCTAGTGGTGCTATTTATGGCCAAGAATTTGAATTCTGCCACACCCATACGTCACATCCGTTTATAGAGCGAACCTATTCATACATCTATTCATTCATCCAATGATCATAATTTTCACCTGAACCAGAGAACGATCAATCTACCATTCAGTACCTCCAGAGGTATCGATTTGTTACGGGAACACGGAAGACTTTGTAACCCGACTGTTTCTAATGTGTACCAGTCACCATTTACTACACGGGGAGTCTTTGTCCGGCTGGATTCGAACTCCTGTTCTCGCAAATGTGATTTCAGTTCCTTGCGAACCAGGTTATCCCGGTCAAAAAAAAAGTCATCTACAATAGGATTAAACCACATCTACTGTCTTTCCCAGGTAAACAGTTTGGATTTCGAGGAAAACGTGATATACTTAACATCATAGATTACATTGCTTTTTTTCTAAGAAATAAATAATATTTTAATTCCTATCTCAAAAGATTTTTCGAAGTCTGGCATCAAATTATTATTTTCAAATTATTGCAACTTAATCTTAATCCTGTATTTCAATCAATTGTAATTTAAATAGCAAAACTTTTAAAGTCTTCTATAAAACGCTATTTCATTCAGTGGAAAAAATACTAGCTGGTGTTTCACAAGGAAGCATCCCGGGTCTAATTTTATTTACATAGAATTTTCCTGTACTTTGAATCTTTCTTTTTCACTGATTGTACCACACAATGCAAAAATGAGTGATTATTAAAATATTAATCTCAGTATTGACACAGTTTCAAATTCTAAATTGAAGACATGGACAACAGCAGACATAGATAACTTCAAAGATAGAAACAGATTTCTGTTTACACAGGGTGTTAAATTTCCCACATTTTCTTTTCATAAATATTACTCTGATCTATACATTGTAATTCAAATTACATCTCAGCAAACATGGGTACTTTTCCATTAATATTTGCATTTTTAGCACTTGGGGGAACTTGCGTGAACGCAAAGTTTTTTAAGTTCGAGAAATGCCGTAAGTAAGATTTTTTAAGAATCCTATTAAAATATTTTAACCTAAATTTCATGTTAAAAAATTATCATTTTATACTAAATATGCATTTAAAAATGGATGAGTGATTGAAATATTATTGTGATTGAAAGGATGAGTGATTGAAATAGTTAGAAAAATATTGTTTAATAATAGTTAATTAATAATAGTAAATAATAGGTAAAACACAATAGATAATAAATTAGTTAAAATAAAATGCATTGTTTTGTTCAATTATCTAAATTTCGGTAATATCTGCTGCATTGCAGATAAAAAATATTTGAAATAAAAAAATTCCTGAAAATATTTTCAAGGATTGTAATTAAAAGAAAAGTTCATCTTTGAACTTATTTTCCATTCTTGCTCGATTTTAAAAAATGCCAAAAATCGAATTCCGTTTAAAATTTTCAAAATTAATTAATTTCGATATTGTAAAATGTTGATTTGAATATCGCAAAACAAGGAAATAAATACAGTGTTTAATTTGCTATTAAGTTTTTTTTTAAAGACTTACTTTTTAGATGAATATATAGATTTGAAATAATAGCAAATAATAATAGTTTTAATAGAATAGTAACTCATTTTTGGAGAAATTTGATTTCTCGATCTTTGAAATATAAGGATTAATCGTCATCTGAAATAGATAGTTCCAATAGATTACTCTAGAGACTCGATTTATTGGACATATGATTTATTTTTATAATTCTGTGCATGTATTGTTTGATTTTCTTGAATAGTTTGCGCAAAAAGTGAAAATAATTAATGTAACTCTTGACTGCTCTCTTTTAGTACTATTTTTTCTATATATATACATTGCTAATTAAAAAACAACAACAACGAACGAAACCAAATCTAAGTTTATGGAATCACGGATATTTATCTCCGATAGTCACGAGGTTCCTTTGAAATGGCGGAAAAATATAACTTAATCTGCCATATTTGCTCTTCAATTTATTTAAGGTACTTAGTTTTAAATTAATTTTTATCGTACTTTGCTGATATTGTCAATATAATAAGACGCGTTTCTATTATTTAGAGAAAAATGATGGGCTGGTTACAGTCTCTGAGTTTACAATTAAACCAGATCCAATTGATTTGAAGAAAAATGTGACGATCACGCTGCATATGAACTTGAAGTCGCCTTTGCCAGAAAAAACCAAACTGAGGACAACATATTATAAAATAACTAATCTCTTTGGTGTAAACTTTGATGTAAGAGTACCATGTCTGCTGGGAAAATTTGGATCATGGTAAGTAAGAAAAAAGTATGTCAGGAATTAAAGCTTTGCCTCTGATAATTTTTGTTTTTTAATGAACCGTATCAAGCAACCAATAAGAAAATTAGTTAATTATATAGGAACTAAATTTTCGAAAAAATTAAAAATTGTGTATCACTAAATCATAATTAGAAAAAAATGGTAACTGAATCAAAATTGTAATTGTTTTTTTTCTTTTTAATTGTATTTAAGCAACTCGCTAGCAAACGGCATTTTGCGAATTAGGTCAGAAAGGTGCACCTTTTATTAGCTAAGAACTCCACGGATAGATGGCAGCAACACTCATTTGCGAGACCATTGCATTGTAGATCTGAAGGGGAAGGAAATTTTATCTAAATTCGTATACCCATGAAGTGCATGGCGACAACTCTCTCTCTCTGTATATATATATATATTCTATGTCATTCAGATTT